GTGGGTATTTTAATGTTACAAGACTTTGTTTTTCCGATGCTTCACCACCTCATTAACCTGTGTGTCATTCTGAAGTATTTTGCCATGCTCTGATGATTAGAGACTCGCTTGCTAACAACACAACATTTTAAATGCAAGCACTTCCCTGGAGTCATGGTGAATTAATTTTCAATTAGTTTTCATTAATGAACTTCATTTTTATGGACCTAATTGCTGTCCCAGCTTCAGGAAATTCAGCAAGTACTTTGGTGAAGTATGGGGTAGGGGACTGTCAAAACTATTCTGGGCCATTATCAGAAGACCTTACTTCAATCATTGTCCACACCAGAGATTCTGTCTGAATTATAAATCAAACACCCACCCATAGAACCCATACATCTTTTCTGTGGGTCTTGAGAGGCATATTTTATTGCTAGCTGAATCTGGTGGTTACCTTAAGGGAAAAGATGATATTTAAGCAGAGGGGAAAAAAAGCTACTGGAAGTTCCAGAGAAATTGACAAGGAAAAGGAGTTGTTTTCTCTTCTAGGGGAAAAAAGACCAAGGATGCCCATGATGGTCTTACTGACATTATTGTGTCTGTATTTTCAGTGAGCGAATGAAATTCCAACAACCAGGTTACTTTGACTTCTTTCTTCAGCAAGAAGAGTGGATACCACACGTTTCAGAATCTTCTTGTTCCCATAGAGAAACTAACATCACTTTCTTCTAGAAGCATCACTGTTAAATCCGAGTAGGCTATCACTATACCTAGGGAAATATTGAGTAGTAATTACATATTGTTTAATATTATTTCCTCCAATTGTTGATATTTTAAAAATCTGTCTGCCATGTAGAAATTCTATTCTGAATTGTTTCCATGTGGGACTAATGCTAAATTTCTTCCTACTTCACTAGTTGTAAGTCACCAAAAATTAATATTGCCGCAGTCTGGCTGGGCACAAATCACGAGCCACTGAAGCAGGAACAAACTTTATTTTTAAACTGCAGGAAAACACTTCACACAGCTCCCGGGGAATCCTCCCGAACGCGCCACGAGGCTTGTCCAGCAACCCCCAGCCGGAAATATCTCTCCCGGAAATCCCTCCTCCTGCACTTCCTCAACCAATGGGAACTCTCGGGGAATCCCGGGAAATCCCCACGAGAACTCCAAAATAGTGCGAGAACTCAAAAGTTGCGGCAGAGGCGGATAGTAATGCCTCACCTGTCAATCAATACTGTTGGCAAAATGCCAGGGGCCATACAGACTCAGCCGTGGCTCTCAGCATAATATCACAGAAAACAACTTTGCTATTTTACAAGCATAATACCTATAAATAAGACAAAGAATAAGAAAGATAATATTTGTATCTGGTAGAGTCCCACTCACAGTTCGACAGCTGCAGAGAGCCTATTACTCTTTCTATGCCCTGGTTACCTGTAGTGTAAAAAGGTCTAGTCTATATTTTCTAGATTCAAAAAAATGAATCTACAATAGTTTGAAAATAATCATAGATAAGTCTAATACATAAAGACAAACTATGTAGTAAAACCATTCTTCTTAGGGTGCTGATTAAGGACTAATAGCCTGAATAACAACTAACATAACCCACAAATAAACACTCTGATGACTTCCTAGGAAGCCAGTTTGACACTCTGGGCCATAAGATATGACAATAAGGTGTTTGTGCTCTATTTTCACTTTAAAAACTCTACATCAGAGGCCTAGGAAATAAACACTACCCCCACAGTCTGAGACTTCACCTTTATAGAATTTTTTTTTTACTTTTTAAATTCAAATTTATATTTTAACTGATACATAAAATTATAAGAATTATAAACACTATGAAGTACTATATGGTACTTTGATATGTCTATCTTATGTAATGTTTAAATCAGGGTAAAACATATCTTCTCAAATATTTAACATTTCTTTATGGTGAAAACTTTCAAAATCCTTTTTTCTAGGCTTTAGCATTCATAACATGTTGTTGTTATAGTCACCTTACTGTGAAATAGCATACCAGAATTTACCTTTTTAAAATTAATAAACATTTTCTTCCTCGCGATTTTTCCATGAAAAACTGAGTTTGTTGATAGTTTAGTCCTGTTGTTCTTGATCTTAAAGAGACACACATCTTAAAGAGTATCATAAGTTTAGAATCATATCTTGTTACTTTGACTCAAATTGTATTTCTTTGTGGTGTTAATAATTCCCTTCACATAGAAATGATTATTTTTATAGTCTTCAGTTCACCTTCATGAAATGTTAATTTAGTCTATTTTAAAAAAAAAAAAAAACACCCTTAAAGATAGGATCCTGCCCTGGAGAGAGTATGAAGTAGTTGAGATGACAAAAGAGCAATGGAGGAATGTATGGAATTGTGGAACAGTGAAAACCAGCAAATTAATAAATAGAAAATAATATAACATAAATTGTTAAGTGTCCAGGGCATGTAGAATAGGGTAATTATGATAGCTGTAGACTTTAGCTGATGTTTTCCCTACTTCATGTCCTGCCTTCATCAGAGCAGTTTTTCCATGTTGCTGATGGTTTTATTATGAAAACAAACTCTGATTTTAATTATTTTTAAATGAGTGGCATATTAGCAGCATTCTTGGCATTCTGTTCTTTTCCACAAAAAAGGCTAAGAATGAAATCAGGATCTTTATTGGGATCTTATGTGATGAAGTAAGGACAATGGCTACTACAAAACGCAGCAAGAAACTACAAGGGGGAAATGCTTTATTATGTAAGTTATTTTTAAAATTCTGGAGCATCATTGTACATATTAGAATCCAGTCTGCAAAAATATAAAGTAGAGAAAATAAAGCTGAATTAGCAATGTACAGGAAAAACTAACCCTCAAAAAAATATGTGGCCTACTATTTAATACAATGAATTAAGAACAGTATGTCAGAGCATTTAAAGATGTTTTTATAAATCAGAGATATGAAAAATTGTGCTGTATATGTGTAATAAGAATTGTAATGCATTCCGTTGTCATTTATTTTTTTTAAATCAAAAAATAAAGATGTTTTTATAAAGTTTTTATGTGGATTGAGTGAGATAAGTCATGCGAAATGTTTGCTCATGGTAAGCCTCAATTAAAAAGTACACCACTTCAATGATATATATGTACTAAACATTCAGAAGCAAGCCAGACTCACTAGGAAGATAAGGGAATTTTGCTTACAAAGTCATCTCATTGATGAAGTCAGTGTAATATTTTTATCAAAAAATCTTTAATAAATTTAGAAATATAACTAAGTAAGAATTACATGACTGCCCTTACTTAGGCTGCCTATCCACAAATACAAACAATTGATGTTGCTGAGTACTGTGGCACTCACCTGTAATCCCAGCTGAGGCAGGAGAATGGCAAGTTTGAAGCCAGGCTGGGCAACTCAGTGAGACGCTACCTCAAAATTAAAAATAAAAAGGACTGGGCATGGGCTGGGGATATAGCCCAGTTACTAGGAGACTGGTTGCCTTGCATACACAAGGCCCTGGGTTCAATCCCCAGCACCACAAAAAAAAAAGGATTGGACATATAGCTTGGTAGTAGAGTACTTGCTTAGCATGTACAAGGCCCTAGATTCATTCCCCCGAACAGCAAAATTTAAATAAATAAAATAAAATGTCATCATTTTCCAAATCTCAACTCCTAGTACAAAAATCAAGTATCTTAAATTATTTAGCCTTTATAATTCCACTGAATTGTTGGTTTTTCCTTTTGTCCTAAACTTAACAATAATATACATGTCCTGTATCTTCTCATGAATAAAATATAAATGGATACATTGTGGTTTTATTAGGTCATCTTGGAAAATAAACTTCCCTGCAGCCATGCACCTGTTTTCTACGGATTCCAATATGGGAAATGTCAACTCTCTTAATAGGACCACTGTGAAACTGGTCTCTAAGTGCATTTTCCTAAACATAAGTTTTTGTTTTTTTATTTCTTACATGTTTGTACTTTTCCAAAACATTACAGGATTTTTTTTCAGGGTTCTGTAATATTAGTCATAATGTTCTCATAAAATGGATGATTACAACTTTAATCTCTTTTAGATAAAATTTTAGTATAACTTAAAGTCAAATTATGTTACCAGGAAAAAGCTATAAAAGAGAATTAAATAAAATTATAATTCAACTCTGCAAGATACTTTTTAAAATAAGCCATCTTACCTGTGGTAAAACTAATAGAATAGTATTGCCTCTACCCTAACCTAAAAAAATGCTAATCATTTGTTTTCTTTCAAAACAGTAATATATGATACATATTTTCAAAAACTGAAAAGTTCAAAATGATGTGCTCACGTCACTGATCTTCCAATTAAATTTGGCTCTTCAAAGCAAAATCCAATCATATGCATTATGAATGTAATTTCACATCGATTTATCTGATAGCAAAACATACAGATAGAGATAGATCAGAAACTTTTAGTTCTCATTTAATATGTGTAGTATTATTATATATTAAAATGAATATAACTTTAGTTAATATAGTGTATTAAATCAGAATTAAATTAGTAAATAGGACATAAGTTATTGTGATTTTTAGTTTTTGCCAGGCGTCATTCTGACTAAACTGTGGCTTTCAACAGTTTTGAAGAAAATATTTGGCAAAAGAAGGAACTCCTGTACTATAAGAAGACCTTGAGAATTTCTGAATTATTTCACTGAAGGCATATGAAGTCAAAAGTAGAATCAAAGCCAATACTATAAGCTTTTATCTAATAAGACTAAATAACTAGAATTGTTAGTAGTCATAGATAATGATAACTTAGGTTCCTGTAGATGGCCCTAAGAATCTGTACAAAGAAAAAAGCCTTCTGAACTACAGAACAGTAAAATCATGTTTCATTTAGGCTATTCTTTATATAAGCTGTAGATGGACACAATATCTTTATTTTATTTATTTTCATGTGGTGCTGAGGATCAAACCCAGTGCCTCACGCATGCAAGGCAAGTGCTCTACCACTGAGCTACAACCCCAGTCCAAGGCTATTCAATTTTTAAGTATGGAATGCTTTATGAATTTGCATGTCATCCTTATACGGGGACCATGGTAATCTCTGCACCATTCCAATTTTAGTGTATGTGCTGCCAAAGCAAGCACTTGATTTAGTCTTAATATTAAAATCATCATAATTATATTTCTTTGAAATGTAACTCAGAAATAAAAGTTTCATATGTGTGACAATTTTTTTTCGTTGTTACTCAGAATGTTCAATTAATCTAGATGTTTCAATATCCTGAAATTCTTTAAAAAGTTTCTTTTAAGTTTAACAAGGAAATAAGATAGCCAGTAGAGAGGAAGAAAGATGATCTTTGCCTATCTGGTATTATAAGGAAGAATTCTGTTTGTTCTCATTCTTGAGAACAAGAATTAATATTAATATTGGCTTAAAGTGTACCACACAATTTTATTATCATCTTTTCAACTTTTCCTAATAAACATCATATAACTAAGCATTTAGACATTGTCTTAAATTTTGATTCCATGAACATAGTATCTTCAATATGTATGTTATAAATGTATTTTAAATTGTTAAAGTACAGTTATTTAAATATTTTACACAAGGAAAAATACTCCTTAGTAAATACAAGTAATTTGCCAAGACACCATAAATGTTCATTGGTACACGTTTATGGCACTCAATTTAATGAGTTAACAATTTAATGCTATTAATTGTTTTTTAATAGTTTTACAAATTTCTTCAGAGCTAATCCTCTCTATTTTTCCATATCTCTCAGCCAGGTATGGTGGCACATGCCTATAATCCATCTTAAAACATCTCTCAGCCAGGTATGGTGGCACATGCCTATAATCCCACCTACTTGGGAGGCTACAGCAGAAAAATTGCAGGTTTGAGGCCAGCCTGGGCAACTTAAGCAAGACTCTGTCTCAAGATAAAATATAAATTAAAAAAGGGTTAAGGATGTAGGTCATTTAATAGAGTGCCTCTGGATTCAATCCCCACTATTGGAAACAAACAAAAAAACTTCTCTCTAATCTAAAAACTTTAGAGGTCCCTATTGAAAATTCTTAAAAACTTATGTATGCTTTGCTTGGAGTTCTAAAAATATTTAATGCATCTTTAATTTTTCCATTATTAACCATTAAGTTTTTTAATATTTATATACATCAACATTAGAATATTTATTTTGACAGGCAGACACCAAAGGAAGCAAGGAAATGCACAGTTAAGCCAGAAAGGTACTATATTATCCAATACTCAGACATCACAGGATATGTTCAGAGAACCAGTAAAACAGCACTCTGTTGTGTAAGATGATATATTGTTGGCTTCCAAATTAACAAGAATATTTTTGCTGCCTACTGGCTTGCACCTGTCTTAATACAATTTGTGCTGCTGTTGTTGTTGTTTTGAAGGGCAGGGGACAAAAGGACATAAAATACCTTGTGTATTTCAATAAGTACTTGTGAGAGTTCATGATGCATTAAATACTTTTAGATGGGTGATCTTAGGTAAGAAAACACTCAGAAATTGCAATTCCTCCGTTTTCTTTCCAGTTCTCTACTCCCTAACTATCTCAACCTCTTTGCTCATTTGGGATAGCTTCTCTGTTCTACTCCTCTTGGCCAATCTGTGTTTTTAAAGAGGCATTTTAAAAGTAGATTAGTGAAGATACATTCTGACTCAGTTGTACTGCTTCTTACATGGGACCCATAGGTTGGGAGTTTCCCTTGGCTTTTCACACATATAGCCGCAGCTCCATTTTGGAGACGTACAAGTGACCCTTGACACAGAGTTACTGGAGTCACTCTGCAACTTTATAAAAATGTTCCGTTTATGTCTTAGAATGTGTTCCCTATATAATAAGTATTATTCCAAAATATGGAACATTTCTAAACCATAGAAAAAACCCCAAAATCTCATTTCAAATGCCGCATAGCCAAGTCACTATGTGGCACTGGCTGTTTGCTAAATGAAATAAAGTTTTTCAGAGTTACATAAACTCAATTTCAATGTCCATGCATATACATTCTAAATATTAATAATAATACCATCTGTGGCCTCAGTTAACAGCAGTGGAGCATGGACATCTCACTCTGCAGCATCCATTGGCCATTTGTTTCACAGGATTCAAATTTATCTTTGAGAATGTTAGATTTCTGAACAAGAGCAGTAATTCTTAGCTCCATGCCCCTCGTTTACCCCCAAAGGGGTCAAAGGGTAGTACATACTTTGAGGTCAATTACTCTGTCTCTTTGGTTTAGAAGGACCTTAGTTATGTACTCTTCAATACACAAAACATAAGAGTTTTGTCATCCAAGATTAGAGATCACATGGTGAGAGATTCCAGCCCTGTTGAGTTCCTTTTCCACGTGATGTGACTATACAAGGCACAGACTCAAGTTCACCAGGCAAAAGACTGTTGGAATATTGCCAGTTGCCTTTAGCTGACTTTCTCTTCTGGAAGCCAGGGGGGAACTTAGACATGGCATATTTAAGAACATGGCACAGGTTAGAAAGCTTGGATTAAAATGTCACACATTGCTAGCTGATGATGTGGGGCAAGTTAATTAAACTTAAGTTTCTCCTTTTAAAATTACAGTTAATAACAACATCTGCTTCATAGGGCTTAAATGAGAAAATGAACTTAAATGTCGAGTACATGGTTAGCGCTCAGTAAGTATTGGTTATTATTCATTCAGCCATTCCCTCACTCATTCAACAAACATTGAGCACCTACTAAAACACATTTTATGGATGGAAAAACAGAGGCACAGAAATATTGGGCAGTAATCCAGGTATGGTGGTGCACTCCTATAAACCTAGCTACTCCAGGGCAAAGGTAGGAAGTCACAAGTTCTTGGCCAGCCTGGGCAACTTAGTAAGACCCTGTCTCAAAAAAAGGGTGGGGGTGCTAGGGATGTACCTCAGTAGTAGAGTACCCGGGGTTCAATCCTCAGTACCATAACAAAAAAAGAAAAAGAAAGGAAGGAAGGAAAGAAGGAAAGAAGGGATGGATGGATATTAGGCAGTTATCTGAAGTAATATTGTGAAATGTGTCTGGTCCTGTTCCCATTTCCTGGAATACAACTCCCCAAATCCTTGGAACCTTCAAACTGACAAATATCTTTCTGTATACTAATGGTTGACACATGACTTCAGGGTGTGGTCACCAGAAATACTAAGGCAGAATTTAGAGAACTTGCATTGGGAAACAGCCACAAGCATCTCAAAAATAAAACATTTTCAGGAAACATGAATTTCTTGCTTTGGTTTTCTGAAGGATATGATTTCAAATATATCTGTAGTGTTTTATGGAAAAAAAATAAAATTGAGGTATAAATGTGTTGCCCACCACCACACAAAAAGCCAAACTATTCTTAAAATACACAAAAATCTACCTCCTTGCTTTACCTATGTCTTGGGGGGGGGGGGGAAAAAAAAGCCTTTCATAAAGTAAGGTCCTAGGATTTTTTTTTAAATGCACATATTGTCTTTATTTTTTCAAATAATGGGAACCTTATAAATTTTAACCAAGACTAAGGACAAATAATGGTTAAGGGCAAGAGGAGAAAGGAGCCCTTTGTATTCATTATTTTCTCAAATAAGTAGTTATGGTCAAAGATTGCCTAACAGGGTGAAATTATTGCATTTAATAGATTAGCCCACATCTTCCAAATCAAATGCTGATAACAGACTCCCGATAAAGCAAATATCACTCAAATCTTGAATTTCTATAGCACTACTACTAAATTAAAGTTTTCAGTCTCTGTAAATACAAAATGATATAAGAGATAAAAGACTCTAATATGAGATCAAAGTAAATAAAAATATTTTACATATTCTAATAAAAATTGAAAAAATGATTTGTCTTGTACAATAGCACAAAAAATATGTCTATGTTAAAAAGTGATAATAAATAAATAGTGCTCAGCAAACACTTCTTTGTCTATCTGGGACCAATGAAATAATGAGAGTTTTTCCCTCTGGAAAAAAAGAAGAAATTATATTAAAGCTGACAAAATAATTCAACTATTTTAATTGATGTTCTATAAATGGATTCTCCAAGCATCTTTAACTAGAATACTGAGGTTTGATGAGATGGAGTAGACCTACATTTTAGTGGCATGAATATTTTGAAATGTTGAAACCTGATTTTTCCTGAACTCATTTATTTGAAAACTGAACCAAAATCAATATGAAAATAAAATTTCAAACAATCAGGAGTCAAAATGTGAATTTTGAATGACATGAGTTCCGTCAGTTGATGATAATTTCTTTAGCCCAGATAAAAACCTCTTTATTGCCTCGGTTCCATGATGTTGCATTTCTGGTACATGTAATTTATTAGAAGAAGAGCAAGATAGTCCTGGTCTGTGAAGTGCATTTAAAATTTGCTCTGCTCTAAGATATAACCTTGAAATAAGAGAGCAGGGATGAATATCATTACAAATGACAAGATTTTTTACACATAACTGGCATTTGACAGTATCATTTACAAAAATGGTGAGTCTCTTAATCCATGTAATTCTTGGAGTATCTTTTTGTTGGATTTACCAGTTTGGGGTCATATTATAACATAGCCTCAAGCTTAGTATTCCTTTTTTTATCTCCTGCCTCCCCAGTACCACATCAGTTTTGAAGCTAGTCAAAGTTAAGAATTCTCTCTTTTTAGGGGGGGAGGGGTGTACTGGATATTGAACCTAAGCACATTTTACCTTAAAGTCAAGTACAGCCCTTTTTATGTTGAGACAACATCTCCCTCAGTTGCCCAGGCTGGCCTCAAACTTGCAATCCTCTTGCCTCGGACTCTTAATCACCAGCGATTGCAGGCATGTAGCACTGCAACCGGCTAACTTATTGGTTTTTTTTTTGGGGGGAAGGGGTACTGGAGAATCAAACCCTTGTGTTTGATGTAGCTTGTACCACTAAGCTACATCCCAAGCCTAGAATTCTTATTATTGAATGAGTGGGTTCAAGACAAATCCACTTATTCATTCCCACATGTTTATAGCATGCATATGACATGCCAGCAAGGAAATGTGATGGACTCTGCTCTCACATAGTTTAGTGTCTAGTGCAGGAACCAGACATTTAACAAATAATCCTAAAAATAAGTGTATAAAGGTGATAAGCA